GAACGTCTTGAGCGACGGAACAAAACGTCACGGTGGGTAGTGCAATGTGGATCTCTGTGAAAGCCGGGTCCGCAACTGAGCAAAAAAAATCAGCTGCGCAAATAAGGCGCAGGCAACCGATTCGCTTGCATGTGGATGCCCCCGCAACCGGTTGCACGCAGTTGCACAAGCTGGTGCTGCTCACAGTAGAGACTCCTTTCAAGCATCGATCTGTCAAGCGATTTGCAGCGGCGCTTTTCATCACCGTGGGGCACATTTGCTAACTATGATTGGCTCTTATAATCCCGATGGGTGGAGTGGGGGGGGGGGATGAAGGTCACCAGGAGAGGGTAAAGGCGATGTTCCCAAGGGTCCTGGCCAGACACATTAGCCACGCCCAGCCACACCCTGTTTTTGCGCAACTACTCGCTCAAGATGTGGACAAAGCAGCTGCAGAGGCGATGATTTACGTTGCACGATTTCACAAGCGATCTGGAACCCGCCTGAACACTTTGTAAACGGCTCTGTCTCGAAACCGTCGCAGATCGTCCTCCATTCAAACCACAAGCAGGATACCGTGATATCGAACGTCATTAGCTTTTCCCCGTCACAGAAACACATACATGTTTTGGGTTGTCCCTTATAAGCAAAGTGTTGAATTTCAAGATATCAGATTCAAGTTGTAAATTAAAATCAAGTTTGTATGGAGCAATACGTTGCCATGTATTGTTGCCACTTATAGCACCAATATTGTGTGTGCAATAGTTCACGGCTGCTGTCGAGTTGTGGTTCTCGACGGGGGTAACCGCGTTGAAATTGCTGCTGCGTTATTAGCTTCCATGCTGCACCAATGCGCATAGCAGTGAGATATTTTCCCCAGCTATAACACGTGGCATCGGATTCATTAATGCAATTGGACGAACGTCACTGAGAGATATAAGATGAACACATTTCTTTTGAACCGTCACCATTGTTGCATTGAATTAATTGCACGCCCTACGTTGACTGCGTTGTGGTAAAAGAACGCACGAAAGGAAAACAAACACGTAAATATATTTATATATTTGTTACAACTTACAACACTGTTAATGGCTCATAATGTAATATACATTGAAATTCACTATTCTGCCATTAACTTAAATTGATCTATCCTAAGGAATCCCACAATTCACAGAAGCCAGGCGTTCAGCACAGCAGAGGTCAAGCAACGCCTGTGCAGTGCCCATCCAAGGCCCTCTCATTGATTAATTCACGACGCAACCACACCTGGGGCTCTCGCGAGGCCCTCTCTTGTGCGAGGCCTGGGAGTTTTGTTTGTACCCTTTTGTCCCCCCAAAACCCACCTACCCCCCTCCCATCTTACAAATATTTGATTCAATTGAGAATATTGGCACCGCAGTGTGGAGGAGTGCGTGCAAGTCACCTTTTTTTCATTTACAAAGAAAAGTTTGTTACAAGGCTGGGGAGGGGGGGGGGGCGTTACAGCATTTAGTTACGTGTCGGTGTGGTGGATTCCGAGCGATTTCTCATGCAAAGTACTTACGCAAAGGTCTGTGTCACCACCTCAATGAATCAAGGCACATTTCAGTCTCCATGGGGCATTTCTCTTCTACCCACGTTTTGTTGAAGCAGCCTAAACCCTCGACTGGATCGACTTTCTTATTCTCATCAGTCAGCATGGCATGAGCTCGTTGAATGCCCGCGCAAGCAAATTCTGCTGAGAAATATCGGTTCGGGAGGCCCCGTAAGGCTGATGGACGGATACGTAATTTTACTTGGTGAAGGAAATCCTGTTTGTGTATCCCTTGACATTTTCACGACCGTTGTTTTAGCGGGGCAGAGCCACACGTGACCCATGCTCTCTCCTCCTTGCCTACTGTGCTCCAGTGATGTACTGATTGATGGAGGCACAATTCTGCTGGGTAGCGATCTAAAGTTACAATATTTCTGGCCACTCAAGCACCATCTCCTCCCACAGGGCGAATGGTCTCTCTCACGTTCACCCCCACTCACTCCCTCGCCTATGATGCCCCCACAACCACGATGCTAACCCCACCCACTACTCGTGAAGCTCCGCCCTCTACTCGTGAAGCTCCGCCCTCTACTCGGGTAGCTCTTTATACGACCCGGGTAGCCCCTCCGACTCCGCCGATAGCCGCTCCCACTACCCAGGTCGCCCCTCCCACGACTTCGGTAACCACTCCCACTACTTTGGTAGCCCCTTCCCACTACCCAGGTAGCCCCTCCCACGAGTCAGGTAGCCCCTCCCACTACTCCGGTAGCCCCACCCATGAGCTGAGTATGAAACTGGACCATTTTGAATCGGTGACAACATTTACGATTTTTTCCCGTGAGCTGCTGGGGGGGGGGGGGCACTTTCTGAAACCACAGGGACGTTAGAGGACTCTGAGCCTGTGGTCATGCCACGTGGACCCAGCACTGCCATCGATATTGGCCTGCTCACCCACTGGTCACGGAAACCGAGGCATCTTTCAAAACGCTCGTGAATGGAGGCTGGCCAAATATCCCAATGTAGGACGGCAGAGCTCGGGCAATTGTTTGCCGCTCGCCTGTGGATTCATGGCGCAGCCCTCGGCGCGACAAAACACTCTGATCTGGCACTTTGCACGAATGGCGCCGCTGTTTAACCCCCCCCCCCCAATGTAAACCATTATCTGAGAGCAGTGGATAAGCGGGGAGGGGGGGCTTCGGTTATTGCACCTGGAATTGTGGGCACTCCCGTAGGGTCGACCAATGCAGCACACATCTGCCTACAGTGCATCATTATTCAGTTTCACAGCACCTGCTGTCGAGCATAAACGAGCACGACGATGCTTGCTCCGGACGATACCTTCCAACTTCCCAAGGGCTTCAGCGAGAGGGAGAGAGGGAGAAAAAAAGGGAACTTTTTTTTTCGTTCTTCCATCGATGTGCACAGAAAGGAAAATAATTCTATAGTTCTTTCGGTAAAGTCACGTAGAATGAGAATAGAATAATAAATTGATAAAATAAAATAACACAATAATATTCTCACGACGTTTCGGCCACAACACAAGCGGCCTTCATCAGGTGAAGGGACGAGACTCAGGCTTAAAGGTCGTGATCTGAGCGTGGCTTTTTCACTCCAGCGCTGTCCTACCAGACAGTCTCGTCCCTTCACCTGATGAAGGCCGCTTGTGTTGTGGCCGAAACGTCGTGAGAATATAATTGTGTTATTTTATTTGATCAATTTATTATTTTATTCTCATTCTACGTGACTTTACCGAAAGAACCAAAGAAGATGAATCCTTGCAGTTACGAAAGCTTTAAATCGGAAAATAATTCTATACTCGTGTTTTGTTTAGGGTGTCACGGCCCCAGCGACGTGAACACCTTCCCGTCACGCCGCTTCCTGCTTCACGGGGCACGCTGTTGGCTCCGTGGCGTCGTTCAACAACACAAATCGGAGGCCACCGGCGCACCGGCGTCATTGTCCAAATTCGCCGAATTCTGAAAAGAATTTACACGCAGCAGCAGCAGGAGCATTGCCTTGCCCCGACACCCACCCAATTGTGAAACTGCTGCAGACTGCGTCTGTGAAAGCACAGCAGCGCCTTCCTTCGTGATTTGACGTGCACATGCATCCGATATAGACAGCTTGGTGCGACAAAATAAACCATGCATACCTGTCAAGCCATCACGGTTTACCCACCCGTATTCTTGTGCAGGGAGATTGAGTTTCTCGGTCCATACGGCGTGCAGCCGTCTCAATACGGGCAAAAATAATATAGTCTATATGTGTTTCTCGCTGGTGATGGGACTTTGCAGGATGAACGTCGAGATTTATAAGGGCACGGCGTGACCAGTAAGGTCTGAGTTGGTCTGTAATAAGGTAGGGCACTGATAAGGGGTTGACAGGTATGGACATGGGACTACCACATTATTTTCACGACTCTTGTTCGGCCATGCAGATCGCAGGCCGACAGGTCCTGGTTTTTCCACTGCCTTCTCCCGGCATCTCGCCCGCAAACTCAAAAGGCGCCGATCTCTTTGGTGCACGCGGCACGGAGACGCCTCGATATCAAAAGTTGTCCAATGTCGAAATGTCTCCTCAAATCCACTTGTGTATTTTTGTAAAAAAAACTTTCCCAATTTTTTTGTTATTCACTGAAAAAGTTAGCAAGTGTCGATTATGCAACTCTGACAGAAACACAAATTTGAAGCAATACAATGCCCTGAACCCTTTTCAACGGCAGCGGGAAGTCACAATTTTGCAACGTGTCTTTATCACCTCGTCGCTTTCTCCCCTCCAAATATTCATCCTGAAATGTTAGTGTAGGTTTCAGAATTCAAAAGCCAAAGTTCCTTGCTCAGATGAGGAACAACGTTCGTATCCAATGATCAGCCTTAACCCCGTGGTGGAAAGTCCTCATTCCCGCGGCAGAAATCGACCCTTTGCATAGGACGACCGATGTCAATATTTTTCAAACGGGTCGATAAAAACCCGCGCATCACTTTGTGGAGAAGCTGGCAGCGGCTGTCCTAATCGTAGCCTCGTAGAAATGTGGAATGGTCACCCACGGACACAGGGGCCTTGGGCGGGAGACAAGCACCGCCCATCAGTTGTCATTCGAGCCCAGACATCACGCTAAAATTTGATGGCGTTGGCCGAGCAATGTGACGAGCAACGGCGTCGTTGGGGCCTCGTGATTTCGTGAAAACGCCACCGGAAAAAGATAACGGTTTCACCGTGACACAGTTCTGCCCCGAGAATCCCGTGAACACGTTTCACGAGGTGACTCTTGTCTTCACGTGACAGCGTTCTAAAAGCACCAGCCGCGACCTTTCCACACGCTGCAAATCCCTTCGCATCAACTCGCTACGCTCGAGAACTCGGTTTAATCGCAAAGTCAGGTCTATGTTAGGCTATGGGTCTCCATGTAAGTCTATGGGTCTGTATTCGAGTTTATGGGTCTCTATTTGAATCAATGGGTCTCTATGTGAGCCTATGGGTCTCTATGTGAGGCTATGTGTCTCTATGTGAGGCTATGGGTCTCTACGTGAGTCTATGGGTCTCTATGTGAGTCTATGGATCTCTATGTGAGGCTATGAGTCTCTATGCGAGTCTATGAGTCTCTATGCGAGTCTATGAGTCTCTATGTGACTGGTGAGTGGGCTGAGACATCAATTCGCTACTCTTGAGAACGCAATGAAATCACAAACTCAGGTCTGTGTGAGGCTATGCGTAATTCTCACATCAACCAGTTTACATTTTTCAAATGTACGTATAGCATGGCCAACGACTAATTTTGACGTAAATAAATCACGTTCATATGTAGAATATCAAACGATGGTTTTTAAATGATGTGTTTAGCAGAATATATGTCAACGTGCTATAATAATATTTATCCAAGAGAATGCCCATTAAGATCCACCTTCTCTGTTGCAGGGCAGAAACTGGAGCCATCACCATCATCACCGCGTGTGTGTGTGTAATTATCTGTACAAAACAATCAATATAATGTCCGGCCCTTAGTCGATCCACTGCCGGATGCAGGCCTCACCCCCATGCCTGTAACGGCCATGGGAGTTGTTTGACCATACTTCCCCACGCTGGTCAATGCGCGTTGTTTGAAGGGGTTGACCCAGGACCAGTTTTAAAATTGCTCGCCACTGATGTTAGCCGTGGCCGGGAATCGAATGCCGGTCGCTGAGGTGTTGTGCTCACCACAACCGCTCTGTGGCTATTCGTGCAAGTGGTAAATGCGCGGTATTTGTACTATCGTTGGTTAGCCACGAGTGGTTTGTTACCTCTGAAATACCGGCCCTTGCTAGAGTAATGTGGAATTCACCACTCAAGTCGAAAGACCACAATTATATTAGCACCACCAATGTACTCATTCACCTATGGGGTTCAATGTTGTATCAATCCCACTATCGATGATTCTGTAGCTACTGCAGAGCGTAAATACATGTACATCACGTAGCGCATGCACGTGTGTTATCACGTGATCTGCAGAGACTATGCACAGGACATTGGGTGGTGAAATGGCTCAGTGGTGCCGCCTTTACAGCTTGTTGCAGAGATATGCGGTTCGACTCTGGCAGGCCGCCCTGGTTAACAATGCAGGCGCATTAACCGTAATATTTGTGCCGCCGGTTGCGCTTCAGTGGACGTTTAAGATCCCGTTACGCTCTTCGAAAAGAGTAGCACATTGCGTGCCCGCGACGTGCTCAGAAAATGTGACAAATTTGAAAATGTACCAGCAAATTGCTAAATTGGGATTACACATAGCAGCATCTGCCTCCTACTGGCAGACTGATGTAGAGGGACAGCTGCCACCGGGGGTGACCTCGGCTCGACCAACATAGCAGCATCTGCCTCCTACTGGCAGACTGATGTAGAGGGACACCTGCCACTGGGGCAGCATCGCCTCCACGACTGGACACCGCTGCGGGCTGCGTGTGCGCCAATCACAGCGGCGGCAGCAGCAGCAGCAGCAGCGACGGCGGGGACGGCGGCGCCTCCCTTCGCGACGAACGCCTCACGCGATATTGGAATGGTGGCGAAGACAACATTTGGGGCAAACCATTCCGTTTGCTTTTGACGGGAGGGGGAGGTGGAGGTGGAGGAGGTGGAGGAGGAGGTGGAGGAGGTGTGGCACCGAGTACGATGCGTCTACGCAGCGCCTCTCGGGGCACTGCGTGCGCTTAAACGTTCTTGTTTTTGCACGACCGGCAGCAGGCCGTTCGGTAATACCAGTGGCCGCACAGCTTCACTTTGATCACGAGAACGCAGTTCGCCGTCGGCTTGTCTTGACACCGGTCGTCTGTCCGCAAATACACACACGCGCGGTCGTGAGGACAATATGCAATTACGTTTTCTTTACGCGGTCGTGGGCGTGCAAACTACGTTAGGAAAAAGGCGGCACGGCAAAAGTGTGGACTCGTCATCTGCCCCTTCTCTGTGGGATAATGCTGCAACCCTCACGTGCATGACCTTCCTCCCACACGCATACACACTCATTCATTGGTTGAAAACCCTTTAATTAATTCCCATTCCGATGGGAAAGGACGTACCTGTACGTCATCAGTTTTTCTTCTGATTCTGTTCCGATGACGTACCTACACGTCGAATAACTATATCGGCCTGAAGACGTGCCGAGGCTCCCACGAGGGCTTGCGGCGCAGTTTGGCGCCAGCTATCGTAGAGTGCGGTCGTGTCGCTACGCTTCTCTGCGGTGAGTAACAACGTCTTTAAAAACAACGGCGCTACGCCTGCCTCTCTAAATAATATTATCGCTGAGCAACTTGCGCTTTTCGAGATTGGGGGGGGGGGGTGAACGGGACACCCCTCCCTGTGACTTGCAGATGTCTCGAAAATGGGAAAGGGTTAATATTTAGACGACCGCAGAGCTTGAGCAATGGTTGGTAGCGGCGGCGCCCTGCGTGGCTGTGACCTTCAAGCACTGCCTGTGCTTCCTCGGTGACCGTGCACAGGCGGCGATGACGACGAAAACGACGTCAAAACAAACAAACGTCCTGACTTCGCGCGTCTAATTCCGAAGACGCTCGACGCGGGTCCAAATCGCTACGTTCGGTCGTGAGAATCTTTTCGTCGGGTGGGAAAACGGGAACAGCTGGGAAACGCCGAATGTGTGGCCCACGGACCGAGCGGCCTCTGTAAGAAAAGGCTGGAAGACGTTATCCACATCGCTAGGCGGTGGTGGTCCTGCACGTGGCCTGTGATGCAGCGCATTGGAGGTGGGGAGGGTTGGAGGATCACCGCGCAAATGTTGTGTCAACCGCTTCTCGTGGCCGTCAATGTGCTAGAAGCTTGCCATGGTTCTGGAAAAATCGCCCGATGATGCTGGATGTAATTACTGGCGACACGTCGGGGTACTCACATTGTAAACGTTGTAGATTTACTCTCCAACACACACGCCGGTTTGGCCGAAGTAGTAAACTACGTGGCGTGTTTTGTTTACGTGACAAACCTTACCGATCGGCCGTTCTCTCTCCGTGAGAGCGAGCCAATAATACGATGCGACGGCGCGTTTACGAGGTGACATCGTCGTGACGACATCACCGCCGTCGTCGCCGTCATTATTGTGAAGGCGGTGGGGGTGGGGGGGCGGATGGGGGGGGGGCAGGGAGAACAAAAAAACACCAGAGGCGATCGAGGGGAAGGCCGAGGGGTGAAGGGGCAGCGGGGCTCACCCGGGGCCTCGGTGGGGCAGGCCTGCAGCTCACAGTTCTGCTTGGTGCCGGGGCGGCTCAGCGCGTCGCAGCCCTGGCCCAGCTCGTCGCCCTGGTAGCACTTGGCCTCACGCACGCGGATGCCCGTGCCACACGTCTTGCTGCACTGCACACACACGCACACCCGCCGCTATAAACGATCACCGCTATTGTAACGCGTGTATCCGTGTAGCCGGGTAAGGCCCGCTGAGCTGTGCGGCAGCCCCCTTCATTGCAAAAGCGAACCCGGCCATCGCGAACGACGGCGCGGCAAAAGCGGGCTTCGTCGCGGCGGAAATGTCTGGCGGGCAAATGCTCTAAACGCAGAATGTTGATTCTAAATGTGTAAAGATAAAAAAAACACTGGAGAACCCGGGAGAAAAATCCACATGACCACGGGGGAGAGATAGATACGCAAACTCCAAATACACAGCAGGCGTCAGGGTCGGGATCGAACCCATGACCTCCTGTATACCAGGCGAGGTAGTCAACATCTCCTCGTCACCGTGATGATGATGAGAGAGAGACACAGACTTCCTGTGTACCAGGCGAGGTAGTCAACATCTCCTAGCCATCGTGATGATGATGAGAGAGAGACACAGACCTCCTGTGTACCAGGCGAGGTAGTCAACATCTCCTAGCCACCGTGATGATGATGAGAGAGAGACAAAGACCTCCTGTGCACCAGGCGAGGTAGTTAACATCTCCTAGCCACCGTGATGATGATGAGAGAGACACAGACCTCCTGTGTACCAGGCGAGGTAGTCAACATATCCTAGCCACCGTGATGATGATGAGAGACACAGACCTCCTGTGTACCAGGCGAGGGAGTTAACATCTCCTAGCCACCGTGATGATGATGAGAGAGAGACACAGACCTCCTGTTGACCAGGCGAGGTAGTTAACATCTCCTAGCCACCGTGATAATGATGAGAGAGACACAGACCTCCTGTGTACCAGACGAGGTAGTCAACATCTCCTAGCCACCGTGATGATGATGAGAGAGACACACAGACCTCCTGTGTACCAGGCGAGGTAGTCAACATCTCCTAGCCACCCTGATGATGATGAGAGAGAGACACAGACCTCCTGTGTACCAGGCGAGGTAGTCAACATCTCCTAGCCACCGTGATAATGATGAGAGAGACACAGACCTCCTGTGTACCAGGCGAGGTAGTCAACATCTCCTAGCCACCCTGATGATGATGAGAGAGAGACACAGACCTCCTGTGTACCAGGCGAGGTAGTCAACATCTCCTAGCCACCGTGATGATGATGAGAGAGAGACACAGACCTCCTGTGTACCAGACGAGGTAGTCAAGATCTCCTAGCCACCGTGGTGCCGCTCTAAAACCGCACGGCGCAGTCCACGTCAACGACAATGGCCGCCATTCAGCATTAAGTGTCGGTGACATCGCCGCGGCGCTTGTGCCAGGCTAGGTGCGCCTTGAAAACAGGAAAAGTGTCGAAGGCTCGCTGGCAGGCGGTCAGGACACAGATGCCATGGGTTGACTGAGATGACTGCCACCTGTGCCCCCCAGTGTGCGAACTCGCTGCGTTTTACCCGCCCGGCGCTCCGCTCGTTGTTGTGAGCGTTGCCCCTCTGCGCTCCGCTGTTGCTGGACGGCGGCTGCCTCCAACGGCCCAGGAGCATTCTTCACGAGCCTCCTCCAAAAAAGGCCGATCTTGACACCGCTGGTACCCATCATCAGCAAATCTACTCAGTCCACATCCTCCTGTACCGCATCAGCTCCATTTCTTCTCTAACTTGTGTCGTGCCCGTTTAATCCCCTCTATCCAGCAAAACAGGTGCTCTATGGACATGCAGTGGCTGAGCATACGGGCTACGTGATCCAGCCAATGTGGCCTCGCCTGGCAATGGACCTCACCGATGGAATTGTGTCCAGATCTGTCAAGAATCTGCGAGCTAACACAATCTAGCCTGGTTAAACCCAGGATGGATCGTAGGCAGGCCAGCCTTTGAATGTATCAAACCGGGGTAGATGTTCCTTTAGAGGGGTCCACGTTTCACAAGCGAAGAGAAGGGAGGGAATAATTGTGGCTTAGATGACCTGGAGCTTTGCGTGGAGCGACAGGCCAAGGTAGCTTCCACGCAGCGTGGAAGCCACGCAAACACACACACACACACTTGCAACTGTCTGCCACACTCCCAGCGTGTCACCGTGCAGCGGTTAGCACACTGCACGAAGAACCCAGTGACCCAAATTCAATTCCCGCTCACGGCCAACATCACTGATGAATATTTGAACGGGTCTTGGGCCTCCACTAGGTGGGCTCAGCCTTAAATGAGTACCCGTGCAGTGTGCAAACATTAGCGCCGGGGAGACAAAGGCGGCTGGGTGTGGTGCTCACCACCTACCCCCTGGTGTGCCATGCAGTCCTTTGTAGGTGGTCAGCAAGAGCACTTGCTCCAAGAGTCTGTTACGTCTGAGCTTTGCCTCCACCAAAACGTCTACAGTGTAAATAATCCCACGCATCACACCGCCCGCTACAGCGTGCAACCTGTACAACGCACCAAGCACGCCACACGCCGTGTACCCGGGCAGCGGTGGGCCCTGCGGTACACAAAGCCCGACTGGAGGTGCAGTGCACGTCCCCTCGCTCTGTTTGTACAGCGCCTTGAACTTCTTCCGCACAGCACATGGCCAAACGTGCAGAGGAAGGACGACAAACTGAACACGAAAAGCAGTTCTAAAGAAATTAGTTTTCATTCATAATAACGGTTTTTGGGTTAGATCGCGTTTATTTATAAATGTGTCATAACCCTCCACCACCCGACACGGCCAATCAGCAAAAAAGTGTCACGTTGACAAAAGACAAATAATTCACTACTTTAGCCCACCGGTGTGTTGAAGAGTGAATCCACATTTACAGTTTGAGTACGACGTTTCGCTGGTAAGTACTTCCAGCATCATCGGGCAATTCGCCAGAATGGTGAAGCCCTCGCTTGCTCCCGGTTTTATATAGAGCAGCAGGGTGACGTCATCACTTAACTCATATCAGGTGCAGAGATTAGAGGCGGAGGGGGGGGTAATGTAATTATATAATCGATTAGTAATCAGTCATTGGTCATGATTAGTAATGAGTTGTAGATTAGTAATTCTTTAAATCAAAATGTAATGTGTATTATTTAATAATACGCTTCCAGGCCACACTAAGCCGGTAGCTGTCAGAGCGATTAAAGTTATTCTTGTTCCTCTCAATTTCAATGGATTCTCTAATTAGTCTTTGCCAGTAATAATTAGTTTTACACACCACTGCAACATTGTCAAAATCAATTGAGTGTCCTTGTTGACAAGCATGTTCTGCCACTGCCGGCAGTTGTGTTTGAGATAATTTAATATTTCTCTGATGTTCTTTTAGTCTTACACTGATGTTACGTCCCGTCTGCCCAATGTAGTAGCTGCCACATGAACAATTAATCCGATATACACCTTCTGTTGATAGTTTAGGTAATGCGTCTTTAGTGCAAGATACTAGTTTTTGAATTTTGTGTACTGTACCAAATCTTACTGTAATGTTTTGCTTTTGCAAAACGCGGGCTAATTTGTCAGTTACTCCTGAGATATATGGAATTTTTATTGTTTTAACAATCTGGTCGCTTTCAGCAGTATTGCTTTACGATCGTGATTTGGCATTCAGTGCTCTGTTAATTTGAGCATTATTGTAGCCATTCTGTCGTAGTGCGTCTTTAACGTGTTTAATCTCTCTCACTAGACTCTCACCATCTGACACTGTCTTAGCCCGATGTATGAGCGTCTTGATAAGAGAGGATTTCTGAGTGCATCATAGCTCCAGCGGTTCCCTCATATCGGAAGGAAGAGCGTTCCAGACGGCCGCAGAAGCGCGTCTGAAAGTGCCGCGCGATGCGGCGACCGTCTCTGTTCGGCGGCGTAGCCAAAAGGCCGCCGCTGCCGCCGCTGCCGCCGCCGCTGCTGCGGGGATGACCGGACGCTCGCTCGCTCGCTGGCTCACTCGCGCGCCTCTGACCTGTGACCAGGCAGTAGTGAACCACTTGGAGCACGGCCGCTGGAAGCAGGAGGCCTCCTCCTGGGGCCGGGTGCTCGCCTCGCACTGGGGCGGCGGGAACTCGCGCAGCGCCGAGTTCACGGTGCCGGCACAGATCACGCGGCGCGTCTTCCGGCCCCGCCCGCACGTCGCGTTGCACTGGCGGCGACAACGGCGAGAATGACGGTAACGATGAAAACAACGACGACGACGATGGTGAAATCTGTAACGGTTATAACATCGGTGGTTCTTCAAATGGCGGGTCGTTTTGGGAGTCGGTGAAGCAAGTAGGAGCACCCTGAGGGGTGTGGCTCCCACAGAGGGCAATCAACAAACTGGCACAAAGCTTTCATTGATTAGCGCCCCCCCCTTCCTACATTAATGAAAGAAACAGGGTGACTGGGGGAAGATTTGGCGTGACCGCGGCTTAGACACGGGTGGTTGCTTGGACGGTCATCATGAGCAGGCTACGAGGACAGGTAGCCGGACGGAGGAACGGATAAACTAACTGAACAGACGGGCCAGATAAATGTATTGACACGCACAAGGACGGACGGACAAACAGCCGGGTTCATAATTGTGCTGATGCTGTGGAAGAGCCGGATCGATCGGCATGCGGACAGACGGCTGATGGATGAACGGACATACAGACGGACAGACGGCTGATGGATGAACGGACATACAGACGGACAGATGGCTGATGGATGAACGGACATACAGACGGACAGACGGCTGATGGATGAACGGACATACAGACGGACAGACGGACGTACAGACAGGAGGAGGAGGGGGTGGGGGGGGCGGACCGACCTCCTCCCAGTCCTGCGCCAGCCAGCTGGGGGGACAGTTGGTGCCGCACGGGTGGACGGCGAGCGGCTTGGAGGCGGCGTCGCACTGCGAGTCCCCGAGGACGCCGCCTTCGGCGCTGCGGCACGTCACGGAGCGGCGCACGGTGCCCTCCCCGCACGGCCCCGAGCACTGCGGCTCGCGTGGCGAGGGTGGGTGGGAGGGGGGTTGAGCGCAGGGTCAGCCGCGACACCGGACCCCCGCTCGCCCCGCGCTCAGTTTGCACGTGCGTGGGTCGATTACTCCTTCCACGTAGCCGACCGGGCGTGGAGCGGCGGTGCGGTGCTGTGCGGGGCGGCTCGACGTGCCGGCGCTCACCGGAGCCCACTCGGACGTGCTCCAGCGGCGGTCGCACGGCGTCCCCGTGCAGTCGCGCGCCGCCGCGGGGCGCGACGCCGCGTCGCACAGCCGCTCGTCCGCCGAGCAGCGAACCTCCCGGTGCATCTCCCCCTCGTCACCGCAGCGCGCCGAGCACTGATCGCACGCACGGCACAGCACAAGTAGGACACGCGGCACGCACAGTACACGCAGTACAGCACACGTAGTACAGCACGCACAGTACACACAGTACAGCACACGTAGTACAGCACGCTCAGTACACACAGTACAGCACACGTAGTACAGCACGCACAGTACACACAGTACAGCACACGTAGTACAGCACGCTCAGTACACACAGTACAGCACACGTAGTACAGCACGCTCAGTACACAGGGCACTCACAGTACACGCGGCACGCACAGTACACACAGTACAGCACACGTAGTACAGCACGCTCAGTACACGCGGCACTCACAGTACACGTGGCACGCACAGTACACACGGTACTCAGTACACATGGCACTCACAGTACACACAGTACAGCACACGTAGTACACGCGGCACGCACAGTACACACGGTACTCACAGTACACAGGGCACTCACAGTACACATGGCACTCACAGTACACAGGGCACGTACAGTACACGTGGCACGCACAGTACACGCGGTACTCACAGTACACAGGGCACTCACAGTACACGTGGCACGCACAGTACACACGGTACTCACAGTACACAGGGCACTCACAGTACACAGGGCACTCACAGTACACGCGGCACTCACAGTACACACGCACGCTCAGGACACATCGTACACTCAGCACACACAGGATAAGCGAATTACATAGCATCTCATATCAACGTCTTTTGAAAGGAGCACCCTGCAGTGGCGGCTGTCCCTGCGTGGCACAGCACGTGGTCCACAAGCTGCCGTTCGTCTCCCAGGCAGGGGGAGGGGGGGTGACGTTTGTGCTGTGTCCTTTTTCCTTGACGTGGCAAGTTTGGACCATGATGCTGGCACGCGCACACAATGGCCGAGTCCTTTTTGACGTGACGTTTCTCTAAAAGACGTTTCTCTAAAAGACGTTTCTCTAAAAGACGTTTCTCTAAATGACGTTTCTCTAAATGACGTTTCTCTAGCGAAGCTACCGCCAAGCCAACGGCGACGTGGCGTTCACTTTCGAGACGCCGCGCGGCAATAACCGGGGCGGCCTGGGGGATTCGAACTGCGCGAAAAATTCGGAAAACGAGTGGCGAGAGAGTTACCGCTGGCGCCGGTGAGATGTTAACTACCTCGCCCGGTGCACAGGAGGTCGGCGGTTCGATCCCATACCTGTCAACCCCTTATCAGTGCCCGACCTTATTACAGACCAATTGAGACCTTATTGGTCACCACGTGCCCCTCACAAATCTCAACGTTCATCCTACAAAGTCCCATCGCGATGGAGAATCACAAACGGACAAAAAAACATCCGTCCCGTATTGAAACGGCTGTACGCCGTGTGGACCTGAAAACTCAATTCTCGTGCACAAGAATCCGGGGAACAACCGCACACGGGTTGACAGCCGTGCGACCGCGGCCCCGCCGCCGCCGTCCGTGCATCTGCGCCGTCCGTACCTCGGACCACTCGGACGTCTCCCACTGGGGGCCGCAGCTGGAGGAGCGGCAGGCCTTGCGCTCGGCCGGCCGCGGCAGCTCGGCCGCCTCGCACAGCTCCTCGTAAGCGGAGCTGTCGAAGCCCGGGGCCAGCATACGCCAGCAGCGCACCGAGCGGAACTGCACTCCCTCGCCGCACGAGCGTGAGCACTCGCTCCAGCGGCTGTGCTCCCACCTGCGGGGGAGGGGAGGGGAGGGGGTTTCAGACGGCGGGCCGGGGGGGGAACCTCTTGGCGAAGGAAGCGATCGCAGGTGGAGCGCAGGGTAACAAAGTGGCGCGGGTGGGGGGGGGGGGGGAGGGGAGGAGGGGGGGGGGGAGGGAGGAGGGAGGGAGGGGAGAGAGAGGAGGGAGGGAGGGGAGGAGGAGGGAAGGGAGGAGGGAGAGGGGGGAGGGAGGGAGGGGAGGAGGAAGGGAGGAGGGGAGGAGGGAGGGGGGAGGGGAGGAGGGAGGGAGAGGGGGGGGAGGGAGGAGAGAGAGAGGAGGGAGGGAAGAGGGAGGGAGGGAGGGAGGGAGGAGGGGAGGAGGGAGGGAGGGAGGGGGGGAGGGAGGAGGGAGGGGGGGAGGGAGGGAGGAGGGAGGGAGGGGAGGAGGGAGGGGGGGAGGGAGGGAGAGGGGGGAGCTCTGCTTGCCTTGGTTGACACTCACGTCCGGCACAGAACTCGCGCGTGGGCTCAGGCCGCGTGACCGCGTCACAATACGACTCGTCCACCTCCGCACCGTCGTAGCGGATGCAGACGGCGTACGACGTCGAGATGCCTGAAGGAGCCCGCACACGCACGCGAGACAAAGATCCCCCCGTGCAGCTGTTAGCGAGCGCCTACGAAGGCCGGAACGGCACACGAGGGGGTGGGTGGCCAGCACCACGCCCGACCGCCTTTGTCTCCCCAGTGGCGATGTTTACACACCTTACCGGGTACTTTTTTGAGGCTGAGTCGACCTAGGGGAGGCCCAGGACCGGTTCAGATAATCGTCACCGGTGGTGGCCACAGGCATACGCACAAAGATTCCCCGTGACACTGCCACACAATGGACTTCTCTATGACATGACGACATCTGTAACCTCCACCGTGAAGCGGATGACGCGTATCTTACGGACAATCCCCTCGCAGCAATGACCAGGGTGGCCTGCCGGATTTCAACCGCATGTCCAGCAAGCGCTTCAGGCATTAGGCTGCACGGAGGCACCACGGTAATGTTTGTGCCTCACAACAAGAAAGGGCCTGGGTTCGATTCCGGAGTTGGGCTTCTTTCTGCGCGTAGTTTGTACCATCTCCCCATCGTTCTGTTTGTGCTCCTTCCGGGTGCTCTGGCTTCCTCCCACAGCTAACAGATAACCCCCCCCCCCCCCACATACAATGGTGAAAAACAACATCCCAATGCTGACAAACAATAACACCGCAAGTTACTCAATTGGGACCGCACGCAGCGCGGCCAGCAACAAAACTAGCCAGGACCCTCGAGAACAGAGAGTGTGGGCGAGGATCTCCCGGGGCCACCGGGCGTCACCTGTGGTGCACGTGGAGCTGCAGGGAGCGTAGGCCGAGACTTTCCAGCGGTACATGTCAGCCAGGCTGATGTCGTGCTCCACCGCGCCCAGCTCGTACTCGTTGCTGCCGCACAAAGACAAAGATCCCACCACGATAACAAAAGCAGAGGGTTTATGTTGTGGGTTAGACCGCGTGAATGTGTGCTACGTTAAACCCGCCGCCACCACCGGACACGGCCAATCAAGTAAAGGTTGTGTCATGTAAACAAAACGTGCCACGTGGTTGCTAGTTCACAACAACGGTTGCGTTTTGGAGCGTGAACCCACCACAACATTTGCAATGCAAGTACCGTGACGTTCTGCATGTCATTGCAACCACCATCATAAGGCGACAGCCAGTTCTTATGGATAAATCCTCCTCCTGTTTTGGTCTTAAATGGAGGGGTGCACGTCACGTCGTCACCTGTGAGCCAATCAGGTGCGAAGACCAGAGGGGGTTGGGAGGGGGTAATGTAGCCATAGAAATACTTACAGTGGATGTCCATTATTAGTTGGGTTATTTACATTGTACATTACCAACAAATATTACCTCCTGCGTAGCCTTCCATCGACTGTCGGGGCAAGCGCTGTTTGCGAGTGGCAGCTGTGAAGGGCGGCACGGCACTACGATAGGGGTTTGGTGGGTGGCCAGCACCACGCCCGGCCGCCTTGGTAAGGAGACACTTTTTAATATTTGGGCAGCGATGCATGGTGGCACTATCGAGACCATCGCAATCGAGCCGCCGGCTTACGTGCAGAGTCATAGCCAGTATCTGTGAGCTACTCGTCAAGCAGCATAAACCATCATCACGCAAACTCCTCCGGTGATCATCCTCGCAGCAGCAGCAGCAGCAGCGGCAGCAGCAGCGGCATCGGCAGCTTTTGGCTGCGGCCATCGAGCAAAGACGGTGGTCACCGCATCATCGCGCGGCGCTTTCAGATGCGCTTCTGCGGCCGCCCGGAACGCTCTTCCCTTCCGCTGTCAGGAAGCCACTGTAGCTGTGCCACTTTTAAATCATCGTCTATATTGACAAACTAATCAATACAGAAATGTTTTTTGTGTTTGATTTGTTGTCCTTACCCCGCACCTCTGATTACCACGGTTGGCTACGCACGGTGCATGATACGTCTCTCAAACCAACCAACAAACACGCGTATAAAGACAAAGGTCCCCTGTGCACCTTTTCATAGAGTGTCGGGGCATGCGCTGTTTGCGAGTAGCACCGGTGAAGGCTGGCACGGCACACGATGGGGAATGGTGGATGGTCAACACCACGCCCGGCTGCTTTGGTCTCCCCATGGTGTAAACTTGGTGAACAGTCAAACGGGTGAGTTAGTCAAGGAATGAATGGGTGAGTGAATGATCAAACGTGTGAATGAATGAGTGAATAATTAAACAAGTGAGTGCGTTTGTGAATGATTGTATAGGTGAATGAAAAGTTAAACGGAGAAATAAATGAGTGAACGATTAAACAGGTGAGTTAGTGAATGAATGAGTGAATAATTAAACAGGTGAGTGAGTTAATGAATTGGTGAATGACGAAACGGGTGAATGAATGCAATGACTCAACAGGTGATGGAACGAGTGAACGACTAAACAGGTGAAGGCATGACTGAATTTCCTAAACAGGCGACTGAGTGGAAAGATAAAACATAGTTTCGTATTATTTGTATATTTTAAAGTGACTTGTTTACCTCTCCTATACTTTGCCCTCCTATCGTGTTTTTTTGCTTCGTTTGTTGTTGTAACGTTCTGGACATCTGTGAAAGAGAGCTTTATTGCTCATCGGATTCCTCCTCTAGTCTAAATAAAGATTCTGATTCTGAGTGAATGGGCGAGCGAGCGTCAGATCACTTCTCACACATCGGACTCGGAGGCCTCGGCTGGCCGCTGGGAAGGCCGCTGGGGTCGTGACGGGCGACCTCCTGCTCTGTCGAGGCTGCGGTTGGCGTTGGCGGAGGACATCAGCGTGAGGGCGTTGGGGCCCCATCCTCCTCCGTCCGCCCGCTCGAGGCCCAGCGCCCTCGTCCCGTTCCTCAGCTCCGAGCCGCGGCCCCCAGCGGCAAGCGAGGAGAGAGGCCGACTCCTGCGCACTGCACGGAGACACAAAGGGGCCGCGCGTAGCCGTGTCGCACACTGCTGGGGCGAGCCCTGCGAGCGGTGTCGAGATGTTAACCACCTCGCCTGGTATGCAGGAGATCGTGGGTTCGATCCTGACCCTGACGCCTGCTGCTGCTGCTGCTGTATATTTGGAGTTTGCGTGCCTCTCTCTCCCCTTGGTGGTGTGGATTTTCTCCGGGTCCTCCGGTTTTTCCCTTCACATTTAAAATAAGCGTTCACGCGTTGAGAGTATTTTGGCTGCTATAAGTTCCCACGTGATGATAAGCCACTTCGTTGTGCGAGCATTTGTGGCCATGTCGTTTCTGAAAAAAAGAGCTGTATAGCTCAGTGGGTCGTACCTGGTAAAATAAACATTTTTTTTTTTAAAGGCATGGGGCCCACTTCTCTAGACCACCACGCTGTGCCCGTTTGGCCTACCCACACAGATGAGCACGGCTGTATACGTACGGTGAAAAAGAAGTTCAGCATACGCACGTGAAGGACATCGATGACGATCCGTCGTCAACTCAATCGTCCGGTCGCTACCCACTGGCTAATTATCGCTGTCCCCGGGACAATCCCCGTTGGTCAGGCCGGACAGCCACTTGATGGTCCGCTCGACCGGCAAGCACCGGGTTGGCTGCGGGGATTCAATGGGGATTAAGGCAGGGGTTCGTTTTAACGTCGCAACGTCTGAAGGAGGTGGGTCAGGGGTGGGGGAGGTCGTCAGAAGGGGAGCTTCGGGCTCACGTTGAAGATCTCCCCACGAAGTAGGCTGCCTCTTTGGGGGCGAGCCGCTGTGACAGAGACGTCAACGCGTGTGCCGGACTCTCCCACACGGCCCAAGGGAAGCCGCTCGCGTGCGTGTATGTTGGACTTCTTTTGCACCGTACGTGGCCACCTTTGGCGGGTCACAGGGCGCAGCTGCGCTCCCCACTGCGCCCGGACAGCGGCACGACGCCGGCGTGTACACAAACCCACCGCTCGCACCACGCCGTGGCGGTGGAGTCGCCAGGGGCCTTGTTGCCAGGCTGGGCCACGCTTTGAGGCCACAAAAGGCGTTGAAGGCTCACTGGCAGGAGGTCACGGGACAGGTCCAGGTGTTATTGTTTAAATGAGTGAGACGACTGGCAGATGGACCACCTGCGTTCCCCACTACTCCGCACTATGCCATAACAACAAGACAAAGACCCCCTGTATAGCCTGAACACACTGCTGAGGCAAGTGCTGTGAGCGAGCACCTACAGTGAGGGAAAAAAGGTATTTGGTCCCCTGCTGATTTTGTACGTTTGCCCACTGACAAAGAAATGATCAGTCTATATTT